AAAGGAATATATATTAAGTAAATACATGCTATGAAATACCAGCAAATTATTTATAAACAATCACCCCTAACTAGAAAGTATTTCCTGTTTGGTAGTTCAGTATTTGTAATATTTATATTACTACATGAATGTTACATTGTTTGTTAGATTCTACAAACTTCCATTCATAAATACACAAAAACGCACACGCACACGCACACACACCCACCCACACACACACACACAGACACACAAATACATACATTATTAACATTATTTTAATTTTTTTTTACAGATCAAAATGTTAGACAAATTTGGAAGAATCTCCGTCAAGAATTCGGAAAACAGCTGAAGAAGACGCTGAAGTCAGGCTCAGCAGCTCCTGACGAACCTATTTCAACTTGGCCGTATTTTGAGTCAATGCTTTTTTTGACCGACCAATTTTTACCAAGGAAATCAAGTGGCAACCTTACTTCTACATTAGAACCAAGTTCTTTGGAAGAAAATGAAGAACAAATGGTTTATAATGAGGATAATCGAGACATACCAGATGCTGAACAAACTGTAACGGAGAGTCAGCCGGGAACTTCTGCTGCAAACGATGGTCCACAACACAACAATGAGGAGATTGGAAAAGGTAGTAAACAGACAAATTCTGTTGTTACAAAAACAGGTTACATAAAAAGAATTACTCCACAGGCGGTTATTGGACAACAGCTGCTGGATGTTGAAAGGGAAAAATTAAAAATTAAACAAAATAAAGTATCGGAAAATCCCAATGACGAAGACATTGGATTTTTTAATTCCCTTCTTCCACATGTCAGACAACTAACTCCTAGGGACAAGCTGCGCTTCAGAATGCAGGTACAAAACATACTATTTGATATGGCCTATCCCCAACAGTCTACATCTTCATTTACGACTCCGTCGCCAGTTTACGCTACCAGTTCAAGCGAATCTCGTAACTCACAAGCCTACTACAGTGATTTTTTTGATACTCAACAGGCTGAAAACGAGTGTGTTCAACACAGCTCTGCAAAGAGTTACACTCCTTTGTAACGTGTTTTGAAAAAGACTCTATTCTGAAAAATAATTTGTAAACTACTTAAATTTCTCGAGGAGTCATTGTTCAGTGAATTAAATGTGTTTCAAACAACTTTATGAAATGTAGTCTTTGTTTAAATAAACCCATAATTTACAACTCTGCTTGTATACTTTACCTTTTATCTTCTTATTGTTATAAACAATACACCTATGATAGCCTATGTTAGTATTCATCCCTGGGTCTATTAGTTGTTATTATACTCATTCTAATCTTACCTGATAGTTACAACTAGCTTCTCCTCGGCGAGAATCGGTGTCACGTGAAAGGTGTGGTGAGAAATGCAGTGGTCCAACTGAGGAGTAAGTAATTCCAGTATATAAGAAAAAGTTTCTGGGGTCATCCTCATGTACGAACGAAATCGATCGGGGTCGTTTTTGAGTTCACTGAAAAGGTGGTGGTATTCTCCTAAACTGTTTCTTCTTCTATTTATTGGGTGGACTGAAAACCGCTTGTTAGGTAGATTTCCAATCATCCACCACTTGGTTGCCGCTGACATTTCATCACTATCCGAACTTGAATCAAACAACATTGCACCAAATATAGGATTATTTATCTATACTTATTTAATACGCAAGCAGGTTTTTTGTGACAATTACTCCTCCGAAACTACTAAACCGATTGTCATGTTTTTGGTGTCATTAGAAAGAGCATAACGTGTAGTTGTGCAGGAAACTTTCTTTTTAGGCAAATAATTAGAGAGTGAGGCCCTAGGGCCCTTTTAATTTTCGTATTTCTCCATAAGATTAACATGGGAAACAAAAATGGTTATGAAACTCCAGCTGTTGTCAGAAATTAAAAGTGAGAAGAAGAACATATGTTAATTGTAAACAGTCTACAAGATTGCTAATTTAACAGTTTGCTACAAACATTTACTGACTTGGTTTAAATAAAATAGTCTACTTTTTCATTTGGGTTGGCGTAAATATTACAATGGAAAAAAGCGAGAGAGCCTGGATAAATTGATATACTAAAAAGAAAACTGAATTAACACTGTGCTGCATTTCGTAGTAATCATTGAAAGAGCCGATTTGCAAACTTTGGAAACAGAGAAAAGTCATAGAACACCACCAAGGAAAAGAAATAGAAAATTTTTTTAGAATTTATAATCGTTATTATGGACAACCTAATGCGGCTATGAATAAGGCTATTTGTAGAAAACACTAAAAAACAAGATCAGCTTTGGAAAAATGATAAGATATTTACAAGAAATGTTGATTATATCTATCTGTTAAGTACATCTTGAGTATTTCCATAATCTTTGAGTCGAATCTTTTAAAGTCATCAGAAATTATGGATGTTATTCGTTTTAAAATAACGCCTGTAATACTTAGCTATTGCTCGAATTCGAGCAACAGGGACACTAGTGCATTTTAAATACACAATCGAAATCCATAGCATTGCGATAAAATTGTGTTATTGTCACCGTATAGCAACTATTTATTTTTATTTTTGCTGATTCCTCAAATTATTTCTTCACATAACCTTAAAGTTTTAGTTGTGTTGACTATCAGTGTGCATTATTATAGTGGTGAATAGTGGTAATAGGGTATAGTGTGGTGAAAAATAGCGTTCGTACCACGGACCGAAATGGTTTTGCAGCTCTCGATCGATTTAAGTTCTCGACTTCGTCTCGAACTTAAAAACTATCTCGAGCCGGCAAAGCCTCATTTTTGGCCCTAGGTACGAAATATACTATTACACAACTATGTGGTAGGATTATTGAATCTTAAACTTTATGATAGATTATTTATTCTAAATCTATTTCAATGATAATGAAACTGATTTTTCTTGCCGTTGCGAAGCACGGGTACAGCAGCTAGTTTTGATAAACGCACTAAACACATCACTCTCCAATGGTCTGAGCTGCACTGACAGCGCGGGTGACCTTCGCGCTGTGTGCAGTCGACATCGACCGCGACTTAACTAGTGGCATCCACCGCGACCTACCCCTCCACCGCGACCCACTTGTACTGTTCTTACCCTTACATGCGTTATTATTTTTTACTTGTAATTATTCTTGTTTAGACTTTGTACATTTTAAATATAAATATGTTATGTATTTAGATTTAGTCAAGAATGTGTATAGGTATTATTATATATACGCATATTAAAAATAGGGTTTTTTTTGGTTATTTTTGAGGGAATATAATAACGTAAATATAGCTTTCTGTTTAAATATTCGTTATTGGTTGTTCGTCTCTTAGACCGATAGTGCCTATCTCTAAGAGAACTTCTCCATAAAAGAAGTACCCTGTTTCTGGTGGAAACTTTGACGCAGTAACAGGGCTTTGTGACTAATGTCCACCGGCACTAATCTATTTTTATCGTCAATCTTAAAGCAATCTATTTCAACTTGTCGTACGGTGTTAAAATGTTTTCTATTCATTTGTATGCAAACATTTATACGGATACCTTCAGTATGATACAATTTGTATCAATATTATTATTTGTTCAGTTCAACAATATTTGTAATAATACTAATAAACAAAATTACAGTCTAAGTGACATTGACAGTAGATTTCAAAACAATAGAATCATATTGTTTATCAAGATTGTTTATAGTTTTTTTATTTCTTTTTAGTAGGTATAAATAATATTGTAAGTAAATTGTTTAGGATAGTCAGTTTCCTTATTTAGTTCAGTATTTCAAAAAAATTATAGTCCAACGTTTGTTCTGCCAGGGCCACTTGTCGGCTTTACACGGGTACCGATGTCATAAACATCGTCCTTCTGCGAAAGGACGGACCCTCCCTTGCCAGTTCTTAGAATGTTTGTAATCCCCAATCCAGGGCAAGGGATGTGTCCTTTGTGATTGTATCGACGAGCATCACATTGTACAGTTCGCAAAGCTCTATAGGACGTGAGAGACTAATCCTTCCACGTATATTATAAGTCATTAGTTTTCATTCTCATTTAAAACAACCGCAATAGTTTCTTTATTGCAATCCATTCATCACAATTTCATTTATACAGTCAAATAATAACATTTATAAAATTTAATGCGTAATAAAGTAACAGTTTATTTCAAATGTTAGTTTTATTATACCAAAACATAAGCGCACGATTACGGTCTACGAGCCGAGCGCATTGTTGCTGTAGACGTCAACAACGTACTGTGTATTGCAGAACTGCATTACCGACGCGAAGACTACGCTAGCGCACTCTGAACTCGGGCCGCCCAACTAACTCGGGCAGCCCGAATAAATATACCATGCAGTTTAGGCCGCCCCTGCTCTTCTCTGGTGTTTATTTATTCTATGGTAATATGAACCTATTAATACATTGATACTCTATTTGAGATCCTTGAAGAGTTGCTCGGCACTCGTGGTAAAAATAGTTATTTGTAAGTAAGACAGTAAGAATAGTGAAATAAGCTCCATAAGGTTACTGTACTTCTGTTCCAAATGAAAATAGGTTCAAACAGCACAAATAAAACAGCAGACTAATGCTTAAATATAAAAAAAATTATAGCAGTAGGCAGTAACATATACTTTTATCAGTAACAAAAATGAATTTAAGAATTACATTCTGTGATTTGATGTATTTTGAAACGCACATGCCAGTGAAATAATCTCACGACTTTTTATGAATTTGAACGGATGGTGTTTTTGGCCTCTAAGAGACCTCAAAACAAAAAAGTAAATCCGTCCCGGGTCCAGGTCTTACCATGAGTACTACGGTAATAGCTTATTTCCTATATGGGAAATTCGCTAAAAACAACCAGCATGTAATCTATGAAACTGTAATTTTTTTTTACAATAAGTAAAACTTTTGGAATTCTGAGTAGGCCTATAGCTGACTAAAATGAGTTCTAATCAGTTAAGGATTTTCTAATACCACCGAGTGTTAAAACAGTACAGGAATTACTCATTTCTCATTTATAAACTTAAAAATAAAGTGCTGTGATTCATCTCACCTTAGAGATGATATGATCAGATTTGCTGATTTGATGACTTGCGAGTTGAACTCTGATTTCGGATGGTTAGCAAACACCAAAAAAGGATTGTAGTTGATAGGAAGTGGAGTTCGATCTGTCAAGTACATGTCAAACCAAGGTTTGGTGATATAGCTTGTATGCTTATTAGCCTTGTCCTCTGCAATAAGGGTTTTCTGACATTGAATGCCATCACTTTTTACAAACTTTTCCACGTATGATTTAGTTTTACTGTATTGCTCATCAGAAAGCAGAGGCTGCTGAGATCTGAGGTATCTTTCACCTGTCTTCTCTAGCTCAGGAATAGGAAGACGAGGTAGGGAGTTTTGAAAGTGGAATGTAGGAATCAGGCTCTTTTTGAAATGCTGGTAGTCTTCACCTAAGGATGGGTCTGAAACAGAAACACTGCTCAAATTAGTTAGGTAGTTAATTACGATTACAAAATTTGATGTAATGAAAAAATTAGGTGACACTTACTTCTCATCCATGAAGGTAAGTATAGAAATCAACAAAGGCTACAAGCTTAATTAAATGTCCATAAAGTGCAAACCAGGGAGGAGTTGGTGCTTAATTTTGGTTCTCAATATATCAAAAGTACTTGAATGCTGTATTCTTAAACATTACAGCCTATTTCATAGAGTTTCGTAGTGATCTTCCAACACATCCACAATAGTATTACAGTATGCCTACAATTGATCTTTGTAAACTACATACCAGCAACCATTTGATTGAATTCGTCAAAGTAAAATATTATCCATATTTATTTATTTTTTTTTTTGGGAGAGGTGGGAAAATGCATTTATGCACACAGGTGGCTAGCCTATAGTGTGGGACTCCAACGGGTTTAAACCCAGAGACTACCCACTAAAAAGCTCCTCTACTCTTCGGACACTAGCCTGGGAACACTTGTCGCACTTCATCAGAACTAGGCCGAGTTTGCCAACGCCCGAAGGGCTTACTCAGTGTCTAGCCGTTCATTTCTCTTACACGATCTATACTGTGATCCGATCTAGATCGTTCTTTTTAGATTGAAGGATAATCTGACCAAAGTGAGACCAGCAGTCCCAGTTGTCCTCACCCTCCAACAATATCCGATTTAATTATAAAATAATTACCAATAATCATTGTCCTACCATTCCAACATACTGGCATGCCATACAGTTATAAAACATTATGTGCACCAGCAAAAGTAAAACAACTAACTAATAATTAAATACATATAAACTATAGGAGACTAGTTTAAGGGATCCGTTCCTTGGGAAAAGTTTCTTCTTTGTGAAACTAAATCTTTTCAATGTGGAGCATTGAAAGGCAAGGTAAAGAAGATAGGGGTTGTTTTAAATAGGTTGGGAGAGGTTTCCTAAAACACCCTCAGGGTGTACCTCATAAGGCATCAGTTAGCGGATATTCCCTTTCTAAAATAATTATGTAAGTGGCAAGATCTGAGGTGCTAGAGGCAATACATGATAGATTGTTATTCTACTTAGTTCTGATGGTTGATATGATCAGCTAAATCAACAAATGGCTCAATATTATTGGCTCATTTTAAATACTAGAGCTCATTTGATTGCACAGGCCCTGCCTATGTAGACTTTTTCCTTTGTTATAGAATGTATTTTTTTGCACTTTTTTTGCTTTATTTCTACAGAATATAATTTTTGTTTTGTTATCTAGTTAGTAATGCTTGCTGTATTATATTTAAGTAAAAAAAAAATACAATGTAATTATATGTATATAATTTATGGGAAATAAAATATTATTTCATTTCATTTGATTTCATCATAGTAAAAGGAGCTACCATACTTATATACTAAAAATGAACATGAAAAATTTATTAAAATACTAAGAGGCAGCCATTCATTCAAAATTACTCAGGTTTAAAATAGGCAAACTTAACTATCTTAAACTATGAATGACAGTGTGTCTAATTTAATTTAAATTTAAGTTAAAAACAAGAAAACTTAATAAATATAAACATTGGTTCCACACTCAAATTATATTTAGTACTTACCTCTTACATCTTGAAATAAGTAATCTAACTTCTCCCTTCCTTGCATGTATAGGAGTAAACTGAAATAGAATACCACATATTATTGGTAACATTTTTGAATGAATGATTTTGTAGACTTTTTGTCCTGATGTTTTCAATAACACTTAAGGAAACCAGTCAAAGGTCTTAATAAAAAAAAACAAAAAAACAAAAAAACTACAGTATAATCTAAAAAAATCAAAATAAAAACTAAATAGGCCTACAGTACAAATAAATATCTGAACAGGAATCAAAGTGATTGGAATTCTCTTTCAGCTAAATTGAATTCACATTGGCTTTATTACTGGCAATTTTAATACAATATCATTTTGTGTTCAGTGAAGCTGCAGATTCTACGAGCTTGATGTTAAACAAATTTTCAACTGTACCATATGTGGATTAGGTACGTAGTGACATTAATAGCAGGAACAATATTGAGAAATAATTCCATCAGCATTAAAAGTGTAACTTGGTACAGTAAAACCTTACTAACTCGACAATTTTTGGACCCAAAGTTTGTTGAGATATCCTAACATTGATTTACAGTAGACTCCCTCTTATCCAGACACCTTTTAACCGGACATCGGTTTAATCGGAATACACTCGGCGGAAATGACATCTCTTTAACTGGACAATTTTTATCAGCACATCGGTTTAACTGGACTAGATCGGCAGGAAGTGGGCGGTACTGAATCAACCGTTCTCGTGGGAAAGATTTGAGACCAGTGATCACGTGTCTAAATACAATGTTCTCCTAAATTTAAGTCAAATACGCATTAAAAACCATCAGTTTTTACGAGTTTTTGGGGACATCCGTTTTACCGGATAACCCGTTATCCGAACTGGCCTCGGTCCCGAGAAGTCCGGATAAGAGGGAGTCTACTGTAATGGGTTTTAATAAATGAAATACATAACAGACTAATTTTTCATATAGGGGATTAAGCTATTACCGCAGGTCTCATGGTAAGACATAGACCCGGGACCGGGACCGATTAACTTTTTCGTTTTGAGGTCCCCAGAGACCAAAACCAACATTTTGAACCTAAAAACATGAAATTTCAATATTACCCTCCAATCCATTTTGTAGAGCTTAAAAAAAGAATATAATTTTGTAAATTGAAGCGTTGTTGTATGCCCAACGGTTACGAAGAAATTGTAAATTTAAAAATCCCATGTTATTCTGATGGAGGATAAATAAACTGTTGTAGTTTGCTTGTTTATGTTTATCGACATTGCAATAAAAAAAACACATCTAAATATCTTCCGTGTAGAAGCAAACCTAGGTACTCACTAAAATTAATGTTAATTAAATAGGAAATAAATCTGACAATTTTTAGGGAATATTTTAGTAGAAATCCAGCCTGGTAAATAGAAATTCGCTTAGTTTGCAGGTTTGTTCCGGCGAAACAAAAAGTGAGTTTTTTTTTTTTTTTTTTTTTGTATATATATATACAAATTGTGGATATTTATAGGGATGCACTGTTGATGCGATGCTCCCTGGTGTGGATCAATGTCCGCACTAGTGGGTACTACGACTATCCGCAGTACTATCCTTAATAATTAGACCAATTCTTTAATTACGAGGAAAAAATATGGTTCGGATTCCACAATAAACTGTAGGTCCCTTAGTTGCCATTAGATGTATGGGCTATTAATTAACAGCTGTGTCTAAGGAACATGTCGGCCTTAGTCACTAACAAGACTACAAGATCGCGCCACTCATCCTTCACTCATATTTGGGTTTAAATACGCACATAGTGGCGTCCCCATCTTAAATAATTGATAAAAAACATTTATTACATACGTAAGTATTTCTACATATTGTTTAAAAAAACAATCTTCAAAGAAATGTAAAAATATTCAACAATTAAATAAACTATATGTTGTGAAAAATTTGCTTTTTTTGTGAGCGTCCTGTCATTTTTTAACTGTTGAGTTATCCACCGTCTACTTATTGAGGTTTTACTGCGCCTACAGTACTAAAGTTCCTTGGGTTTTTTTTAAATATGGTTTGTTTATTACTGGAAATCACAACACCAATATAAGCTAAAAGCCAGAGCATTGTTGCTCTGAGGCACTTTTGGTCATATTTACGGTTTGCTTGAGGATTACTTTTACATTTTCTGAAACAAATTCTTCACTGGTAGGGTGAGTCGTTAGAATTGATTTATAGAACCTTTTAAAAACTCACTTTCTCAGTAATCACAGGACAACAAATACACTGACACACATAAAGCATTACACAGTTTTAAAAGATTTCATGATTTTGACCATAAATATTATTAGGCCTAATAATATTTATGATATTATTACTATTATAATACTGTACCTCAAAAAGATAGACACTAATTCAATAAAAAAATTATGCAGACCTTACTTTACCTTCTTTGCACGATTTAAATTACTGATGTGATGAAGTTTTCTATATTCTCCACTTGTGCTTATCGCTACTCCCATTCTCTACAAACAGAAATAATCCTGATTAACTGAAGATGTTTTGTGTTTGGATGGATAGTTTTGATAAATTGATTAGGTACCAATAGTTAAATAACTGGTAATTCTGAGCAATTACTTGGTCAACCCCAATTTTTTTCATACTTTACCACGGTCATCAGGATGTTCTTAGAAAACAAGAAACATATAATTTAAGCCCCGCAAGGTTAAGTTAGGTTAGGTTAGGTTAGGTTAAGTTAGGTTATGAATTAACCTAACCTTACCTAACCTAACCTAACCAAACATAACGGTACTGTCGCAACTGGCTTTAGAGATGTATGTGCAACTAAAAAAAACATAATTCAGCCCGGGAAAGTTAATATAGATTATATACAAATAGAAATTACTTCAGTAATCGCCGGGTTCTTTGTCCTCATCCGACATCCGAGTCTCCTGGCCAACTGGCCTTCCGCGCGTCTCCTGCAAGCCACTGTTATCGCTTGGAATTTGAAAGTTCTTATCACTCTGCAACCTGTACGATGGCCTTGCGGGGCTTAAATTATATGTTTCTTGTTTTATAAGAACATCCTGATGACCGTAGTAAAGTATGAAAAAAATTGGGGTTGACCAAGTAATTGCTCAGAATTACCAAATAGCTTAGTTCCGTTCTTATTTAAAAAAAAAAAAAAAAAAAAAAAAAGGCAGGCCCATTATGTTCGTTTGGCACATTATAAACACTGCTAGAAAACGTGCACTTGGATTAACAATATTTTTGTGAGAGCCACGACCTCGGTCTTGCTGATCACCAGAGACAGGCTATGTGAGTTCTCATCAAATCCTGAACTCCTAGACCAAGCTTGAGTTTTGCCTGCACCATTGTTCTTGTTGCAATTTTGGCCGCTACTTAATCAGCATAATAACTAACAAAGAGAAAGTCCTATGTAGAGTAGCTGAGTGGTTATAGTGCTCACCTAACAATCAAACTAGGTAGCCGGTCCAATCCCGAGAAAAGTCAGTAACTTTTTGATGGTTCGAAACCGGACCAAGCTGTTCCTGATCATTGGGCTTTAAATAAATGATTCCGACTGATGAACCAGCTGATCTTAATCAGTAACAAAGCTACACAGATCATCTCACACCATTCTACACTCATCCTACACTCATATTTGGGTTAAAATACGTAGGCTACCCAGGGACGCCACATCTCAAAAAATTGATAATTTAATTGATACGTTGATCCTCTGCAAGCTGACATAGGAAATATCTAGAGAATTGAAGTGAATTTAATAATCATTAGTGAGAGTTTGAGGGTATTTAGGTTCCAGAATTGAATTTAATCATCATAAAAGAATCAAAGAGGCCACGTTCCAGAATTGACCCGAAGGAGCCTCAGAAGTGATGGGAACATGCTGCTGACCTTCAGTGGTGTCGGACAATAGACAACAGTCTGTTAAATATGCCTCAATCATAATCAGGAGGTAGAAAGGAATGTAGAACATATGATCTAGTGCCCACAGCAAATCCCTCCACCTGGTGGTGTTGAAAGTGTTTTTTGTATCAAGCGTTACAAGGAGGACTACATGGCAGGACTAGTGGTTGTGATCCTCTGTTCTCCGCTAAATTTATTTTTAGTCAGAAAGAAAGGAAAATAAGATGAACGTAAGTTAGGAAGAGCCTGAAAGAAACGAGCATCGCCTTCACTACCTCTTGAATGGTATCTAGGGTCGAATAATCTTAAGCCCAAAAGCAGCGGGGACAGGTCACCTACAGAGACAATCACCTCAGTCAGTCGCCGCTTTAGTAAATGAGCCTGGGGGGCCCGGGCGCAGGGGCAGAAGAAGTTTTAGATTTGCTGGGAGTACAAGGAAGTGAATAATTACCCCACAAAGAAGGAGAGAGGGGGCGCAAATGTCTTTTGGACCCACAGTGCATCACATGCTTCAAACCGCAGGGTTGGCCTCAGTCAGTTTTGTAAGAGGAGTTTCTCCAAAATTCCGACCACTGCATCAAGCATGCACAAGGGATGATAGAAAGAAGGAATCCTAAGTGTACACTTTCCCACGCAATTCACTTTTGGATGATGAATACTTGTAGAGACTTAATATATCGTAGGCAAATGTTAGAAATATGTCTAAGTAAGTTAACATCAAACGCAATTTTAATTCCAAAAAGAGCACATTATAGGAAAATATTACTACTGATACGTAATAGCCCGTGCTTTAATCCATTGGCCTTGTATCACGGAACAGTTCCGTAATGGTTGTATTGGGCTCGAATTTCGTATCCCGGAACAGTTCCGTATTGAGTACCTGTATAATGCCAATGAAATAGATTATCTTGGTTATAGTAGACCCCCTCTTGACAGACCTCGCATTAACTTAAAAGATAATCTGATTATACGCCCTCGCTCGTAAAATATTAGGCTACAGTTTGTTTTAACCGACCTTGATTTAGAGTCCTAGGTATTTCTGTTTAACCATCACATAGGTACGGTAGTAGGAAACTCAGCATATCCGCTCCCACGCTCAGCGATGGGAACAATACGCTTAATTCTGGAGAATTTTACTGTATAAATAAACATGGTTGATTGTATCTTTAATTTCAATAATAAGTTCTGTGCTGTAACTTAGGCTATTACAATAGATATGGAAAGCATAAATTAATATTACTTAAAGGTACTAAATGAAGAATTTGTACTGACTCTGCCTACAATAATAATTTATTCCACTGAAAGTATTTTACTTTAAAACCTTGTTTTAGGTTTGTTTGTGTCTTCTTTCATCGTCAATAACATACTTAAGAATTAAAAGAGATAAGTGTATGCCTATGCCTAGTTTATTTGGTAAATATTGCACACACAACTTCAGAATAGTGATTATATAATTCCAAGTGAATAGCACTTCATTTTTTTGGAGATTGCGCGTTTAAACCGACCTTTTGACTCATCCGACCTAGGTCCAGTCCCGTTAGGGTCGGTTAAGTCGGATGGGGTCATGGGGTCAACAGTAGGCCTACTAACCAAACATAGGTAGGTAGGCCTATAGGGTGATGGGCTGAACTTGTGTTGAAATAATAGTCTAAATAGTTTAAATCAAGTAGGCCTATAACCTAACTCTCGGAGCAAATAGCTGGTAAGTTTACCTATGAAGTACCGGTATAGCAAATAAGTTTGCCTCAAGTTAAAAGTTCAAATAATAATACTTGGAAATCGTGATGGTCAAAATTCATGTTTATTCATGTTTATTTTATTTGACCAGTTATGCTGATAATTTTGAAACAAATTGCCTCCAAGTAAACCTAACTTACAACTTACCTAGTTTTAATTCAACTAGAAACAATGCAATTATATTAAATCCAATAAGTTACAGCAAAAATATTAACTTAAACACGACTCGGACAAAGAATTTAAAGACAAATCTGATGGATTTGACAAGTCATAATGAATGACAGAATAATAGAAGTGACAGCTCAAGAAAGTTAGGCTAACCAATACCATATAAACAAACAGTTTTTAGCCGCAGGTGTATCTTAATATCGTTTGTCTCAGCAAATCTTTTGAACATGCAGCTTCGTAGTCTGATAAATTTATGTCGTTTACAAAGATTTTGTTCCAGCTTTTGTTTTTTCGAACACAAACTTATCTGGAGTAGATATAAAACAACTATAATTCTTTAAGTTAATAATATATTTATGTTTAAATAATGTTTATTTTTTGTGGTGTTGGCATAGTTAAAATATAATCCCAAGAATTTATTATTTATTTAGAATGGTAGAATACTTTTTGTCTTTTATGAGAACTTATAGTTCCAACTAAAGAATTTTTAAATTCCTTAAAACAGTGGAGCTTCATTAACTTATTCCTTATCATGTAAATAATCTCCTCGACCCGTTTCACCTACTTCAAAGGTGCACAAACAAAAGTCCATTACATTCTAGAATACATCTTCTTATTTAGCTCACATAAAGTAAACGCCAGTTGATTAAAAACCGTAAAAGCAAAGTGCCGTATAATACCACCATCAGCTCGTTTGTATGTGCATGTCACTCAATCGTTTCATGGGCTCAGGAGGAACACAGGAAAAGATGGGTTAGGCTGCAATAACATAGGGTAAGCAGGCTCACTCTCTTCTCCCCTTCCTAGACCGAGACAGTCACCTCCAACATAATGCTCTATGATTAGATAGGAGACAAAGCTTCTAAGGAGGCTGCGCAGTTCGAGTTCATCAAGCAACTCATGTTAGACGCACCAAGCGGGGGCACAAAAACATCTTTGACTGACGTCGACATGCATCAAGGTCAAGGCAAGGTCCGTCCCGACTAGATCAATCATAAATCAACCACCATAAAAAGGCAGAGCTGTTAAAAAAATGGAATTTCAAAGTGTGGGACTCCCTTTCTGACATTTATTTTTTCGATACACAGAAAACTATAAAGATGCCACTCGCTCTATGTCAACTATCTGGGAACCTGGTTTTATTCACCCGCAGCCCTCTCCTTTCTGGTGGCCCAGCCTAATTGACCCCAGGTATGAAAACTTCCCAACACAAAACCCAACTCCTTTCACTGTAAATAAAATAGTAAACAAACAAAAAAAGAACAAAACAATAAAATCGCCCATTTACTTTTAGTACTTGGGTGATGTTTGTAATACATAATAATTATTATTAATGTCTTTATGTTTCAAATCTGTGTTGCAACCCTCAATGAACTGTGTCAGACTAAAAGCTGTGAAGAACAAATCCAAACTTACATACAATCAAAAAGGTGTCAATAATTTTACAAATTATATAATCAAAAGTTGAATATGAAACATCATGACCTTTAGCACGGCCACCTACAACTCCTTTAGTCGAACCTATGAAATACACAATGAAAATAATTAACGGTAAATTCCTAGTTTACAGTGAGTAGGTATGTTTTATCTATGTTTACAGACATTATGGGATTATTGTCATGAGGTTGTGCAGAATTACATCTAGATCACCACTGTAATGTTTTTCCATCGCTCTTAAAGGGAAAACATGTTTTTATATCGAATTTCCCATGTAGGTAATAATGATAAGCTATTGTAGTGGTAAGACCTGGACCACGGCCGCCTTTAACTCCAGGCCGCGGTCTGGTAGAATTGGCAACATCGCAAATGGTGTTTTTTAGTGACAGACGTCCCATAAGATAACATGGCAGACAGGTGACATCGCCTCATTAATTCGCACTTAATTGATTTACATTTAAATTTATGAACATAAATTTATTAAAATATTGAAAATAAATCATACAGATTTGAAAACCGAAACAATATGAATTAAAAATCTAAAACTGTAAATTTTAAGCGGAGTCAATATTGTCATAGTACAGTAACCAATCTTTCGTAAATACACAAATACCATTTAGCTGCTTCCAAACAAAACAGGTGTTACAACACCACTTGCGACGTTGCCACTTTGAAAGCCGCGGCCTGGACCCGGGACCGATTTACTTTTTCATTTTGAGGTCCCTAGAGGCCAAAAACATCATCCGTTCAATTTTTTTTATGTATGTCCGTTTGCACGATAACTCGAGAAAAATTATCCGATTTTTATGAAACTTGGTAGGGCCTACAAACCTGTAAACCTAAATTTATTTGAACGAGTTCACGAACCAGCATGATCAGAATATGGGGACGAGGGTTTATGGAGGGTTTTATGGGGTAAAAATTGGTTTTTATATTTTTGACCCTAAAAGCATAAAATTTTGAAATTTATTTCCAAACCATTTTGAAGAACAAAAAAAAAATAGTATATTAAGTGTTGTTATGCGCCTAATAGTTACAGAGAAAAAAAATTTAAAATTCCCATATTATTCTTATATTATGATATATTTTGCAAACTTGTTTATTTCATACTAAGCTATCAACATTTCAATAAAAATACCCCCACCGCAGCAAACCTGCAGACTAAGCGAATTTCGATTTGCTTGATTGGATTTACACTAAAATATCTCCTTAAAAATATCACAAAATTATTCCCTATTTAAATAATAGCATTAGTTTAACAAGTACTTAGGTTTGCTGCAACAGGAAGGGTTTAAAATTGTTTTATTGTGAAATGTTAATACAGTATGTAGTTTAGTATGAAATAAATGCATTTCCCAAATTATGTTTATAAACAAGCCAACTACAATAGTTATTTATTCTCCATAAAAATAACAAGAATAACATAGGGATTTTAGACATTTTATACGTTTATACCAAATTTAATCAAAATCGGATCGTTTTCGCTCGAGTTATCGAGCTAACGGACATATGTAGGTACATATATATGAATTTGAACGGACGGTGTTTTTGGCCTCTAGGGACCTCAAAACGAAAAAGAAATCGGTTCCGGGTCCAGGTCTTACCATGAGTACTACTACGGTAATAGCTTAATCTCTTATATGGGAAACTCGCTAAAAACATACCTTATTCCCTGTAGCAGCAAACCTAACAGTACCTAGCAGTACTCATTCTAATTAATGTTATTATTTATATATTTAACAAATGTGACAATTTGAATTTTAAGGAAATATTTCAGTGGAAATCCAACCAGACAAATGGAAATTCGCTTAGTCTGCAGGTTTGCTGCGGCGGGGGTATTTTTACTTGTTTGTAATAGATTTCATGTTTACATTTGCTATGTTTGATAGATGGAACACTGTTTACTTTGCGATGTTTGACAGTTAGAACTACGTATACGAAGCCTATACAACTTTCAGCAATTCCCTAATACCTAATACCCATTCTTCTAAAACATACCCCAATCAAGACAATTAATATATCTAACTTTCCGAAGTAGTTCTCCAAATGAACTTAAATGGCTCACCACCATCTCGAAAAAAATTGGCACAAAAGAAGTTCAGACTCTCCAGCAAAAAGGCATTTGACTAATAATACTTTGCAAGATAAAGAACACAGCTTAAGGAACTGTCGTCCAGATGTCCTGGCGACTTCACTGAGGCATTAAAAAACTACATTCCTAGCAACATCAAGTCTTTTTTCCTCAAAATAATGCCCTCCTTTATTATATTCAAACACCCACCATTCCTTCTGAAATTATCCTAGACTCCGCCTCTACTAATACCCCTGAAGAAAAGAACAGCTTTGCTCAGTTTTTTGCCTCATTCTTCAAGAATTCTGACATTTTGATACCATCCTTCGACTCCAAGTACAACAGTGTCTCCCTCAGATGTGAAACAGATCTGAAAAAGAAACAACAATTTCTTGATCCGATCAAAAGCCTTGGCCCTGACGGCACATCACACATCGTACTTCGACATTGCAATCCAGATTTCAGTCCCATTGCTTCCTTGAAATCTGGAACCTTCAGGGTAGCTCTACTCTCTCCAATCTGCTTGTTTTCCAAGAATTTGTAATGTCTGCTTTTTCTAAACAATCGCCAAGTGGACTCTCTTTAACTCGATTTTTCAAAAGAATTTTTTAGCATTTCTCCACCACGCTGCTTCGCCGCCACTGTGTATGGTGTGTAGTGGGGTAGTTGTGTAGTTCATCAAAATCTACTCATTGTATTCTATGCTCTCATGGCTGGAAAGCTATTTGAGAAACAAAGACCTGATTGTTAAATGTGACGGGGCTTTGGAACAACCCTCTCCTGTGCTGTCTAGCATTCCCCAGTGGTCAAACCTAGGTCATCTGCCCTTCAACTTTTTTATCAATGGTATTGGTACAGCCATTTCTTCCAACTACACCACGTTCACCAATAATATTAGGCTATTTTCTGTGGTCCAGGAAGAGGATGATTTTGATATTCTTCATCATTCCCTGAGTCAGGCTTTAGAATGCTGAGTCAGGCTGTAGAAAGGTGTCATGGACCTTAGCAGTTCAAAGTGTTACGTAGGTTATGCCTTTTTCGCAAAACAACATTACAATACCATTAAACTCATATAGATGCACCTAAATAGGGCCCCCAAAATAAGAAATGACTACCGCTCTTGGTCCATAAGAACATCTGTCCTACATTGCATCTAAAGCTTGCTGCCTCCCAGTGGCGTAAATAACACCCCCGCAACTCCCGCGGTGCGAGGGGTGCCGAGGTCCTACTGTCTCCATTCACTGTAATTGCGGAAAAAGGTGACCTTGTTTCCGTGAATGTGGGATACGATTATATATTCAACAGCGAAGAAGATATTTCAAGGTTTTGCTGCAATCGCGGAAAAAGATGTTGACCGTTTCCGTGACCACGAAGGATGATGATAATGTCTACAAGACCGAAGAAGATATCCAAGATCTTTTGCACTATTAAGGAAAAAGGTGACGTTTTTCCGTAGCCGCGGGAGACGATGATGATGTCTTCAAGACCGCGGATGATGTAGAATCAGAATCTGAATCGCTTATTGCCGTTAAACATACATGCAATGGGCAAAGTAACATTTAAACTATCTTAGCCTACTTAAAATTAAACAGATAAACAGGCCTAGTATCTGAACACAGAGCGGAAATATTGA